AGTTTTCAATCAATGATGTTCTTTTAAATCAGTGGTTCTCAACCTTTTTAATGCCGCGACCCCCAACCGGTCGTAAGTCGAGGACTACTCAACCGGTCGTAAGTCGAGGACTACTCAACTGGTGCAGCACCGTTTGCAGAATGGGACTTTTGGTGGGCTCAGCAGGGCAGAGACAGCCTGGACAATTCCTATTGGCTTTTGAAAGCCAATAGAATTAGACTCTATTCAAGAGAGTCTATTCTATTGGCTTTCAAAAGCCAATAAAATAAAAGGGAGTAGCACAGCTAAGGAAAAGGGGGAAAAAATGGCAGACTGCGTTGTTGGCGACCCCCGTGAAATAGTCGTTCGACCCTAAATGGGGTCCCGACCTACAGGTTGAGAACCACTGTTTTAAATGATGGAATAGTTCTTAGATGGTATTAGAAAGGATTGGTTTGTATTTCAATGTTTCTTTAAAGAATTTCTTTTTCCATGTGTATCCTTTGAAAAAAATGATAGTGTAATATATTATTATAGATCCGGGATGTCCAATCTTGTCAACTTTAAGACTTGTAGACTTCAATTCCCAGAATTTCCCAGCCAGCAAATTTGCCAAGGTTGGACACCCGTTATAGATGCTAACAGTTCAGTATAGAATTATATAGACATTATTTAAACTCCAATATGATATTACTTACTGTATATAAGAAGACTTGAGAAATATAAGACTTGTGGCCCAACTTCACAACTTCAACCCACCTGGGTTTACCCACTTTAGTAATGGATATAGTCTGTATCTTCAACTAGAATGTTAATTAGTCAGTGTTGATTATAGTAATTCAAATCCTGATATTTAAACTAACAGTAACAATCTATTTAAAACTGTTATGGTGCCATTCATTATTGATGCTGTGTACTCTGGTAATAGTTCTCCAAAACCTGAAGGTTTTTTTACAGCCCTTTTATCTGAGGCACTCCAATTGAATTAAGGACCTTATTTTTGCTATGTATTCTACTTTATGTAAAAGGTATTTAGAGCTATCTGGGTATTCCAAAATATGCTCTTGGGTGTGTTCCTTTTCCCACTGATATTACATCCCCCAATCATGCAGAATATAGCTTATGTAATGAATTTTTGTCAGCTGGATCTTGACATAATTTTATTAATGGGACTGGCTGCACTGAAAGGCTTTAAAACGCAAGAGATCATTAGCAAAATTTCAAGGCCCAGGGAATTGGGACATTTTTGTCCTAGAATGATAAACAATGAAGTTAATCTACAAAGCCTGAAAGCCGTGATCATGAGAAATGTCTGAATGTAGTTGCTCAACCAACTGCATTTCCTATCACTGGTTTGTCCTTACTGCTCACTTTTGTGTTGCGTGAGAACATCACGTGGGACACCAACTCTGAGGAACAGCTAGTGTGTCAAGCTGTGTATTTGTACTGGTTGAATGTATATTTATCTCTTAGCAGTAGGATCAAAACTAGGATTTTTGTTCTCCTTACAAGGCATTATTCAGGATGTGAAACACACTAAATAGGTGGGAGTGACTTGAACATGTGCACCATGTTGCAATTGGTGCTGGTGATACAAGATTCTGCAGGTTATGAAATCATCTTGGGGGCAGGGGAATAAAACAAAATAGAGATAGCCATTTTTTTGAAGACCACATTTTAAGATTTGGGGAGCACAGTTGAGTGTGAAAACATATTGTGCATATCAGCATTCAAGCGTTTGAAATAAACTTCCTATTATTCCCCTTGGGGAAATTGTTTTTAATTTTAATTATTTAGGTTTAATGCTATACATTCAATGAGTTACCTGCCTTCAAATTAGGACATTTTGGCTGTGGGGTCAGAGAAAATGATTGGTTCAGTAATTCTGGGGGTGGGGGGTGGGGAATCAAGAAAGGAAATTTGCAGGTTTTCATGTGATCCTGGACAGGCAAGATGCTTGTCCCTAGTATAAAACGCCAATATGGAAATAATCTACAACTTTTGCCAGAAAGAAAATTTGAGAAGTTAGTGCATTTTGCTTTTCTCAAATAAGGTGGCCTGCAAAAACCCACAAGGCCATAAGAAGGCAGCAAAGTGTTAGCATTGTCTGTATCAATTTCCTCCTATCTAGTGGTTATTGAGATTTTTGCAGCCCAAATTTGGTAGTTCAGCCTTGAGAAATAAATAACTGGGCACTAATGGAGGCAGTACAATAAAATAAGAAACTGGCCAGTAGAGTTAATCCCATATGCATGTATTATTTTCATGGCAGTGTTTAATCTTTGACCTTGTTCCCACTTCATTTTGTTTCATATGGTATTCATTCAATCTTAAAACTAACCAGAAATTAAGAGCAAAATTCCCAATAGAGCAGAATTTCAGATATCAGTTTTTATTCATAAATGCATATAACAAGAGATGCATTGTGTTTTAGAATGAGACTTGGAAGTAATGAATCTGCAAAGCAGCTTAAAAGAAATAAATAAAAAACAATGGTAAAGAAAGAAGTCTGACATTGTGTGAACAAGTTATTTGATTTTGTTGAAAATCAAACATTGTGGTGTGATTTTTGTTGAAAATCAAGCATTGTGCTTGTGTGGTCGGAACCTCACCCAACACATTATTGTATCCGAATCAAAAGTTCTTTGGCAATCAATTTACCTTTTTAAAAAAGTAAGAGAACGGAACATCTGAGAATTACAATAGATATCCATTTATTTCTTGGCAACTACATTTTTTAAATGTAGAAACATGAAAACAAACCAGTTCTGTTGGCAAGCTATTTCCAAAACCTTGTAGCTCTGTACAAGTTTTTTTTTTGTTAATGAATGAATAGAAGTTATGTGGAAATAGTTCTATGTGACTTTTTTAAATGATTATTTTTAGTGGACTGAAAATAATTAAAAAAATAGAAGTACCTGCAGTATGGAGAAAATAGTTACTTAGAGAGCTAAACACAGCTAGTCAACTTACAATCATAAGTGAGCCCAAAATTTCTGTTGCTAAGTGAGGCAGTTAAGTGAGTTGTGCCTCATTTTATGACCTTTTTGCCACAGTTGTTAAGCAAATCACTGCAGCTGTTAAGAGATTCTGGTTTCCCCTCTTGACTTTGTTTGTGAGAAGTCAGCTGGAAGCTTACAAATAGCAATCACATGACCCCCAAATTTTGATCACGTGACCATGGGGATGCTGCAAATATCATAAGTATGAAAACTGGTCATAAGTCACTGTTTTCAGTGCTGTTGTAACTTTGAGTGGTCACTTTCACAATTGGTTATAAGTCAAGGACTACCTGTAGGCAGTTGGATCTAGTGGTTAAGGCACCAGGCTAGAAAGCAGGATATCATGAGTTCTAATTCCACCTCAGCCATGAAAACCAGCTTGGGCCAGTCACTTTTATTCAGCCTAACTCACCTCACAGGGTTGTGGTTGTGTAGAAAAATAAGAGGAGGAAGATGTGTTGGATATGTTTTCTGCTGGATGTGTTATTTGTAAAAATAATAAAGGCAGGATACAATAAATAAAAAAATCAACATAGCATGTAACAACATAATTCTTTCATGAAACATTCTGACCCAGAAATAAAAAAGGAGTAGCTTTCTGCAGAAAGTTGTGCTTTATTGGATTTTTTTTCCAGCTACAAGTTTAGCTGTAGCTATACATGATATCACATTTAGAAGTTATGCATGCATCCCCCTCAAAGCTAAGTACAAGATAAATGGTTTGCTAAACAGTTGCAAAATCAGCCAACTAACATAATATTTACATACAGCCATATTATATCCTTATACTTTCACAGTAATGTGCAAATGTTACAAATATGGCTTTTTTTTCTAAAAAAGGAAGTAAGACACAATTGTACAGATTATGTAATATTTCTAAATAGTTAGGACTGTTTCACCTTTTTGTGAAACCGGTTGAGTTTCCATTAACTGTACAGTGCACTTAGTTACCACTTCTATTCCTGTGGCACAGGTCACACGTATTTCCTAAGGCACAACGTTAATGTTAAGATGCTTTAAAAATGAAGCCATGCTTTTTCCATTTATGTGAATGAATATACTAGCTACATGTAACATGGTTGTACAAAATACAATGTTAAACACTATATTACTTGCTTAAATTTATTTGTATCTATTAACATGAAACTACTGTATTCCGAAATCATACAGGGCTGCATATTAAAACATTTGGTTTTGGTAATATTTGTTGTACATTTAGCAGAGAGTTATAAGGCTTCAGTGGAATAATTATCTTATAACTGAACAAATATTTTACATTCTTCAGTAGCGGTATTTACAATTGCTTTAACCCATTCTTTGTCATTTGGGAATTTATGCATATTTGATACACATCCTTCTCCACTGTCTAAAGTGCTTGCTTATCAGCGTGAGACAAAAAAATAAAAATAAAATCAGAACTACCTAAAACAAAATAACTTCACAAAAACAAAAACGGCATTTCTTGGGATCTGGACTGCATTCCTAGAAGCAGAAATTATTGCTAAATTCAAAACTTTCAAAAGGCAACTAAATATACTAAACATATTATGTTTGCGTATGTGTACACACACACACATACATATACGCACAATATGCATGCGTATATGCTAGGTTGCTACATGCATATACATCAATCAGTTGAGCAAAAGTTAGATTTCTTCAAATGTTTTTTGTCCATCAACCTTAATATTTTGTGCTGCTCAGTTACCTTGTGCTAAGCTGAAACCAAAGAGAAGTCAATATACCGACAAGCTAGTATTACTAATTGTTCTACAATACCTAAGGAAAGAAATGAGACTGGCTGAAAATGTATAGCTGAGATGAGAATTTTGGTTTTAAAATGCACCATGAATAAGGCAGCAGGATGTCAAATACAGTTCAAGAGAGAAAACTGGAAAAAAAAACAAAACCTGGAATTCAGACACATTAATTTACTTTCAGTAGGGTTCCTCTATCTCAGTGTTTCCCAAACTTGACAATTTTAAGTCATGTGGACTTCAACTCCCAGAATTCCACAGCCAGCGTTGCTGGCTGTGGAATTCTGGGAGTTGAAGTCCACATGCCTTAAAATTGTCAAGTTTGGGAAACACTGCTCTATCTATACCAATTGACACAGTTTCTGTGCTGAGAAACACTTTGGATGGCAACGAATTAAACACTGCCAATACAATTCCCTGATGCCACAAACGAACAAAATAAGGCACTTCCAGGGTTGTTGTCCAGTAGAGCCCGAAAGAAACAAAATCAGTTTTTGAGATTGGTTATCAGTTTTATCACATTTCCTATTTTAACCATAAAAATACTCCACACTGTATTCATTTCCTCCATTTTCCTTGAGATGATTTTTAGAAGGAGGCATTTCTTAGCTGAAGTCAACCAGTTCCTTTATATATATATATGCATAGACAAAGAGAAGAGGTAATTGTCAGCTCCAAACAGTCAACAAAATGGAAGACTAGAATGGTACCGGGGATTATCTTCCAATTATTTGATGTGGATATCTCAGCTAAACTTCTAGCTGACCATTTGTCAGTGGACATGGGTGCTGGAAAGATCATTCCTTATTATCTCATTTACTGCAAAAGAAAGAGAGAGAGAGAGAGAGAGAGAAAACAGAATTAGAGATCATTTGGTTACATTCTTCCAGCACTCTTTTGTGCTAAAGTAACATCCAAGGGCATTTCAGACTAACTGGCATAAGCAAGCAACAGATATCAAGTGATAAGTGATATAAGTGATAACATTGACCCAAACAGTCATGCTAACTTGTATGCAAAATCAGGGATCCCATTAGAAAAGGACTTGGGTCTTGGCTATAATGCATTCATTACATTATTGTTTACAGAAAAAAAAATATTAGGGATGTTTCTGAACACAAATATTAGATCACAATTTCTATATAAACACTCATGTGCTGCAAATAAACTGCCAAGTTTGCAAGCATAGCATCCAAAACTATAGGGTACAGTCCTGAATCCTTGAATATTCTAAGATTCTTTAAGTGGGATTCCATAGGCTGATATTTCCACAGTAGAACTGATGAAAGAGGGAGGGAAGGAAGGAAGTGAAAGTGGTGTTTTTGCTTTGTCAAAAATGGTATTTACAAAATACATAAATTTTCCTTAATGATCACCTGCACGTGCATACGCAAAAAAAAAAATCCATCAGGAGTATTTCTATCTATACAATACTTTGAAAGTAGTAATAACAGCATAACCTGCATGGATTGATAGCACAATATTATTGTTGCTTGTGGGTCTTTTTCTCCTCCTCTTGGGCTGCATAGTTTCCCACACTCTGGTTATGTCCATTTAGCACTTGTGATTTTTGGCAAATGAACAGGAAATGACTGAACCTGGCAAAGGCCATCAACAGTGAGCTGCACAACATCCCTTTTTTCATCTCTTGGCGGCCCCTGCCATGGCTTGATTGACACTGAGATAGGCAAAATGTCATCAGTACTGCTGTCACCACTTTGCAGCTTTCCTAACATCCCAGGGAAGGGGAAACACATGCCCACGTCATGGAACCATCCTGGGAAAGCCCATATTTCCCTTTGCTTGAAAGCTGTTGATCGTTCCTGTCCAGATAATTCCATGTGTTTATGCAAGAGGAATCCACGCAGATTGCAGATCTGCACTGTTGAACTTTTCTTAAAAGCATGTGAGATCGGTTTAGTATTTTTCATAGAAAGGACTTAAATCACAAATCCCAGATTGCCCCTGAGAGAACAGATACTGAGGAAAGGAATCTGCCATTTTATTTATAAACTCCTCAAAAACCTTGCACCAGAGGTGTCTTACCTACCTACTTACTTCCTTACAAGGAGTTTCTCAACCTTGACAAATTTAAGATGTCCCAGAATTCCCAAGCTAGGGAGTTGACATCCACACATCTTAAAGTTGCCATGGTGGAGTAACAGAGCTTTACACCAACAAAGCAGTTTGCAGCAAAATTTATAGTAACCTGCATGAACTCCAAAAAGGTACTGCAGCTCTAAACTAAGCTGGGTTGGATGACTGGAGAAATGAGCTGTGCTTGATTAGTTCTGCTGTTCCATACTTAATTTGAACAACTGGTGGATCTGACTGGCCACACAAGTTCCCTTATTAGACCCAATATGACCTGCACTCTCCACCTAGTCTGATTCTTAGCCTGGTCTTGGCTCTGCCATCCACCTCTTAAACATTGGATCTCTATCAGCTTGTGTCAAAACTAGACTCCCAATAGTGATGTATTTGCACATCTGACCAAGATCTGATACCTTAGAAAATTAAAATGTGACAAAATTATAACATGGCAGACAATCTAGTGAAAAAAAACCCCACAGACTGACTGACTCTCCCTCCCTCCCTCTCTCTCTCTCTCTCTCTCTCTCACAAACACACACACATACATGGAATATGCTGGACCTTTGAGAAATGTTAATAGAAACTATGTTTTATGCAAACACAAACATAACCGCCTGCATTATGTACAGGTCCAGTCCATGTGTCATCAGTACTCCAAAGACGCAGAAGAGCTGGAAAGAAAGGAGTAGTTTAGTAGGTAAGTATGCTATAGTAAACACAGTTGCTAACAGAAGTGAATTAGGGGAAAACTGAACAAAACCAGGAAAATCCCTGACTGTTCACAATCACTTTTCCAACACATTATACAAACACCAGTAATATGAGAATGAATATGTAATGCAGATGCACTAAACTGACTTTCAGCCTAGCTTCGTTTATTTACAATGGGAAGGTTCCTGTTCATAACAAAAGGAATATCTCATCAATTAGGCTTAAGAAAACATAAATCTAGCATATGATAAAGATATCTGTCAAACTTTCTCCATCAAATCTGAAAAGTCGGTGTGTCTGCCAGGAAAGAGAGTCAATTCCTTCTCCATGGTGCTGGTTACATTAGGGGCAAGGGCCACAAACTAACCAGCAGTTAATATTCGTCTTTAACATTCCTGGAATAGAATTGGAAACTGTAAGGACAGATCACAGTGTCCTTCACCAGTAAAGGCAGCTAGGAGGAAATATTTTATTTCCAGTGCTTGTTTCATTATCTTGCCTGCTGTGAAATCCTATTAGTGTATGGCTCATTCTACCTACTCCTACAGAAATCATTTAAGCCCAATTCCACATGGAAGGAATTGATGTTTTATATCCACTACACGCTACTACTGCTATTCCATAAACTGAGGCACTGTGGGCTCCTCCAGCAAGGAGGAATCCATAAGTTTCCATGCCAAACAAATTAAAAAAGCTTTGATTTGTGAACCCTAGCCAACCAAAGCATTTAGCTGTCACTAGGAACAGAACCATCTTATTCAGGTCTACTTGGAAGCAGGGTTTCCTGCATCCATTGCAGGTTAGTTCCAAGTAAATGAGGACAAAATTGCTGGGACAACAAATCCCTGTTGATGCACACTATGCACCAGAGCTCTGTGGGCAACTGATAGGACAACACACAAGCATTGATAAAAATGTGGTTTTAAATTCATTCCCTCAGGAAGTGTCTGAAACTGAAAAGAAATTTCATGTGAAATTTTATGGAAAGTTTTTAGGAACTAAATCCAACTGAGTTATTCCCAGGTAAGGACGTGTGTAGCATTGTAATTCATGTCAAGTTGAAAATAAAGTATTTTAATGTTAGTGTCTGTTTTCTGGTACATTTCCAGTGGATCCAAAACCACAGAATAAGACATCATTGTCTTTATTCATTTTATTAATGATACCATTTATGGAATGTAGAATATGAGTCCTGACCCATTTATTTGATATTTATTTTGGTTATTTTATTTTGAAATACAGGATTATTTTATTTCTGAAACACTGGATTCCAACTGCTAGAAATATAAGGTTCTAGTACCTATTTGGTTCATAAACCTTCCTACATACTATATTCTTCCATTGATGACTTCTCTTCCCATTTGGAGACAAATGTGATAATTATATCTTTTTGGAAATAAGATGTTTTTCTATGTAGATTAATTAGGTTGATGTTGATTTTTCAAATGAGCTAAGGAAGATAAGTGAAAAGTTGAAAATCATACTGTACATTTATGACCAAAGTCTAGAAGCTTTAATGTGTAGTAGTTGCGATGCAATCATATACAGTATATATGTGTAAACTCAGCAACAAGCACAAATTAATTCAATGGACCTTATTTTAAGTAAGGGGATATAACATTGTAACCTAGAATATTCCTATTGCACCCTAGAATATTCCTATAGGTGAGCAGTTCTTCCTAGTAATGCTTTGCATACTTTTTAAAAATATGTATTATCTGATGAAATTATCAAGTTAACACCCACAGTTTCCCAAAACATTTTCCAATTTTACAATGTGGAAGTTTCCATAGTCATGCTCACTTTTCCACTGACATCATATTTTTTTTTTTAAAAAAAGTGAGCATAAAGTTTAAGAATGAACACAAAAAAGTCACAAGAATGAAAGAGAAGTACTTTATCATGTGGTCACATTACCTGTCAAAGGCCTCAAAAAGGAACTTTTCTGTTGCTCAACACATAAGAGGCCACTGCAACAGGATGTGGCAAGCTGTTACACTACAGTTCACAAAGAGGGTTTTTAAATGTCTTTTATTTAACATTGAAAAAAATATTTTCATTAAATTCTAGTTTTTTTTCCCTTTCCCCTTTTCACCTTAGAGCACATCTAATATACTTATAAAATTAACACAATAAAGTTTCAAATGCTATGATTCTAAAAGCAAAATATAAAAATATAAACTATTTTTAAAATCATCTCTCCTTTCCAGAACACCAAACTGAACACCTTTTAGCAGCTGGGAAGCACTGTGTTATTTCTAATAATATAAAGTCTCATCTTGATCCCAACGGAAACCTATTAAACTTTTTATTAATTATAATATTGCTAAATTATGCATTATAAATCAAATTATATAATATATATATATATATATCTTTTTCACTTAAAAGGTCCAGGTTTTCCTAAAATAATCTGAACCAGATTTATGGCAATGAAATTGATTTCAAACCAAAGGAGATATAAAACTGTAGGTCTATGGTGGTGCATGATTTAATGAGGGAAAAAAATACAAGTTCAGATTTGCTATGGCTTTACATAATGAGAGTGTGAGTTAAGGACTGTGTCATATAAATCTGTAAAAGAGTTTAAAGTACAGACTACAAAAAAGTTGAACCTGCAATTTTATAACTCAAGATTAATGTTCCTATTGAAAAACCTGATCCTAGATTTTTTTTTCTAGTTTGATTTCAAAAGAATTTAGCAATGCTTAAATTAATCATACAGCATGAGAACTCTAGGAATGATATCACATGCTGTGTTATATTGTTGTTATATTAATGTTGTTATGCTATGCCAGTGATGGTGAACCTTTTAGAGACCAAGTTCCCAAACTGCAACCCAAAACCCACTTATGCATCGTCGGGTGCCAAGTGGATGTGGCCCCTTGGCTGAGTCTGGCCCATTGGGTGGGCGTGGCTGCCGTGGTAACCGCAGAATGGGTGGGACTAAAAAGTTCAATCAATCAATTCCAACTTTGCAAGGTCTTTTTTTTCCCACGAGAAGTTGAAATTAA